AGTACATGGCCCAAGACTCCATATAGCACCTGTCCTCCATGAGTTACTCTTTGTGCAGACCATATGGCATATCAGGTCTGCTAGTGTCTTATCTCAAGGAGCTCTGGTAGTGTACTATTTGCAAGTTGGGCTGCTAACCTTAATGTCAGCAGTTCAAAACTACCAATTATTCTGGGGAAGAAAGATGAAGCTTTCACCTCCAATAAAGATTTACAGTCTTGGAAACCCTAAGTAGGGTCACTATGAATCGGTGCCGACTCCATGACCCACCACTATCCTCCCCACCAGTGTCTTATCTCAGACCCTGTATAAAATAAACCTCAAAAGAGTAGGCATTTCCCTTTTTCCAGAACACATTTGCTCATGATAAATGTCTCTTTGAGGGTTGACTTGGGAACATGCTTACTGCATATATTTACTGTGGTGCTATAGGGTCCTCAAGACCAAAAGCCTCTCTTTGACCAATGGACCCTGGGTGGACCCATATCTGTAATTTGGGTGGGGAATCACAATTTTCCATTGTGGCAACTGATGTCAGCTTATTATTCACTAACTCTTCATTTGTTTGGGTTATACAAGTCAAGTAACACCATAGTCAGCCGTCTCACTACACAGTCACACAGTTAAGTCTTCCCTTTCATTTTCATCACAGCCTTATTTGCCACTGCTGAGGAGGAGGATCTTAAGAAAGTGTCATGCATGGATGCCTTCTCACTTTCATAGTGTGCTTTGAGCTAATTGTTGGATGGCCTTCACTTGTCATTTTCTCTTTGTTTTTGAGGTTTATAAAGCAACTCACTCCACAGGCCTTATAATTACCATTGCCTGAATACTGTTCAAATGGCACAGTTCCTTCATCAGTCAGTACTTAACCTTCCCCATATCCACCATAGGCGAGAGTCTTAGCAATTGTGGTGCTATTGTATGCGCACACACTACCCCACTTACAGTGGTGAGTTTCTTATCACTGACTAGTGAAGGACCGAGTTCCAGAACCACTCCTGGTATCAACTCTCAATCTGAGCTCACCTTGTAAATCTGGGCCTGAGTCACATAGGCTTACATTGCGGTTAGGTTCTTCTTTTCTGCTGACCCTGTACTTTTCTTGAGAAGAGCATGATGTTCTTCTCAAGGGATTGGTCCTTCTTAATAACATGTCCAAATTATGAGAGATGAAGTCTCACTTCTAAGGAACATAAGGCTTACATGCATGTAGTTTATTCTGGGAAGTGATAGTAGATCACAAGAGTAAGGGCAGAAAAAGCAATATAAGGGTACGTTTTTGAACTGCTCCTTCTGTGGGCAATTGAAGTTCAATCCTATAGAAACCCGAGATTCATGCAGAATGCACCTCAGAATTGTTTGCCTGAGGGACAGAAGAAGGGGGCATTTATTCAGTGAGCCCCATCCCCCAGTGATCAAGTGTTTCTTCATGGGGTGCTGATATCCTCATACTTCACGGTTTGAGTGCTGAGTAAGTTCCTCCAGGTACTCCACACTGTAGTAGCAGAGAAGCTCTGGGACAGAGAATGAGCTATTTGTGGTTGAAATCAGATGCTTTAGTTTACACTTACATGAAGTTTGTTTCTATAACAATGGGTGGAGTAAAATATGGGCCATGAAGATGAAGGTGAGAGATAAGAAATGTCTAGAACAGTTGAGTCGATTCTTTGCTTTTCCAACTCAACAATTAGGACTCGACTTTCTCAGGTATGCCAAGTCAAAAATTGCAAAATTTTGTTGCTGTTGGATTACATTTTTGTTCTCTCTCTTCTTCTGGATTTATATCCTTAAAAATATTCTCTCTTTGCTATAATTTTATTGGGATTTTGGAAGGAAACAAAAAAAGCTGAAAGTTCAATCTGCAACCTTAAGATGGAAGTCATCAGTCTCTCCTGAACTCACTCCAGTGAGTCTTTCGTCCACACCAGTCTTCTGAAATTGAGTTAGTCAAGTTCACCAGTGTCTCTGTGTTGCCAATACAACCATCATCATCACAGCCAACCTGCAAACAGTTGATTGGTACAGCTGACCATTTCCTCTTTTGAGAAACAGAATTTTTGCTTGGATTTTGGTCATTCTCTTTCTTAGACCAAGACTTCTCCCTAGTCTTCGTTCCTGGTTCCTCCTCATCTTCCTGACCTTTAAATATTGGAAGGAGCTCAGGCTCAGTCACTGGACCTTTATCTCTTCTCTATGTGACTTTAAGTCTCATCTGTATGCTTACCATGCCCAAATGTGTGTCTTCAGATTGGACGTGCCCTTTGAACTTCAAGTCAAATCTCCACCTACCATCCTTCAAGTTGTTCAGGCCCCAAACACTGGTGTTAGTTATCCTTGACACTTTTTTTTCTCAAACTCATCCACTCTAGCAGCAAACCCTGTCCAGTCTACCTTCAAAATACATCCATAACCTGACCATTTCTTACTGTCTCCACTGTCAACTGTTTAATCTAAACGATCATCTTTTCTAAACTGGACTATTGCAGTCACACCTGGTCTCTTGCTTCTGTTTCTTGGCCCTCCTAGTCTGTGCTCAGCACAGAAAACAGGTTGATCCTGTTACAGTGAAGCTAGATCCTGTCACTCCTCTACTCCAAACCCTCCAATAATTTCTCATTTCTCTCAAGATAGAAACCCAAGCATTTCGACTCCGCCTCTTTGAACTCATCTACCACTCTCTCTCTTGCTCTTGGTCTCCCTGCTGTTCCTGAATTATGCCAAGTCTCCCCCATCTTGGGGCATTTGCACTGCTGTTCCTTCTCCCTGCCACAGAGAATGCCACACCTTGCTCACTCACAGCCTTCTGGTCTTTGCTTTAATGAGGCCTTCCCTGACCACCCCATTTGGAATTGCTATCTGCTCCTTCTTCAGTCTCTACTTGTCTTGTATTGCTGAATTTTTTTCTTCATGGCATATACCACCATCTGCCATGTTGATGGCACCTAACAACAGCAATAACAAGTCATGTTATATAGTTACAGGGTTGTTTTCCCCATGAAAATATGATTCCATGAATGAGCAGAGATTTTGCCTCATTCAGCATACCATGATATTCCCTGGTCCTGGCATCAGTGTGTAGGCAATAACTTTTAGAATACATGTCAGGATGAGGGTCCAAGGGTAAGACATTATTACTTAAGGTGGTTACTCTGGGGACAGTGAAGTGATGGATTTAAAAGAAGAGGTGGATGCATAGAAAGGGAGGTTGGGTATAGGTCTGGACGAGGTGTGTGTTGGGCTACCCATCCATCCATATGTGTGTGGTCACATGGGAAGCAGTGAAGACCAGGGAGGGCCTGGAATTCTGGAGGGGATCCGACTTTTAATTTTGTCTGATGGAGAGTCACTACAATTCTTCCATGAAGACATTTCCAGGAGGAGAGCAAGACTTCTGGAAATGTTATCCAACAGCCATGTACAGGAGTGACTCCATGGATGGGTGGAACATGAAGGCAGACCTCTGAGAGCTAAGAAGAGTGGGGTTTGGCTATTATAGCCACCTGCTCTGTAAGGGACCACATTAGGAGATCCTGGACCAAGTGGGAGAAAATATGGACCAAAATTCAAGATTATAAAAAAAACCTACCTAGGCTTACTGGTCATATAGAAACTTGTGAAACCCTGAGACTGGCCCTTGGTCACCTTCAGGTCTGGAACTGAACTCACCCTTACGACTCAATTTTCAGCCAAGCAATACATAGGTCTATATGGGACAACAATAGTGAGGTATGCTCATCATCGAATGGTCAATCATTCAAGATCAAAAGGTTAGTTAGCATTTACTCAAGGGCAAAGTTCCGAAGGGTTGGGAAAGAAGGAGGGATGGAAGCAAGAACCACAGGGAACAAATTGGATAAGTCATATTACCTTGAGAGGACAGCAATTGTTGAGATGAAGCGAACTGTATGATCTGTTGACTGTAAAGTTGATGATCTGATTTGGAAACCTACACTCAATTCACAACAAAAAGTTTAAAAAAAGAAGAGTGGGTCTCTGGGGTTGAGTGGACCACCCGTGGCTTCCCTTGTCCCTTTTTATGTGTATTTTTGCAATATCTTCCTATTTCCCTACAATCCATGTCTAATCAGGCTACTCCTTCACTCAAGAACCAGGATTGCTCCCACAGTCCTCATGATTTTAGGATGCCAGAGATGAGCCTCTGGAGTGGGGCTCTTGCCTTCCTCTCCTCACTGTCTCCTGTGTATCCTCTCTACAACTTCTACCCAATTGTTCGTACTGTTTCCTCTACTTGTGATTCAGTCATTAAACAAATTTTCAATAAACAAATATTGGGTGCCTCCTCTGTGCTTTCTTTGTTGTTATTGTTAAGTGCCATTGAGTCAGTTCCAACTCATAGCAACCCTGTATAGGGTTTTTGAGGAGCAGCTGGTGAGTTTGAACTGCCGACCTTGGGGTTCAAACTGACCTTGTGGTCCAGTGTTTATCCTAGAGTGCCACACCAGTACTCCGTGCTGGGCACTTTTCTGGGCTCTGGAAAGAGACCATACAAACAATAATCATAGTTAGTACTGCCCCACACTTATTCTCTTGAAAACCCCTGCACCTCCAGATGGGCTGTGTCCATTAGAACTCTTGGTTGCACGTGGCAGGAAGTGATCTAAGCAGAGTTAGTTTATTTCCTCACATAGAAAACTCTAAGGGCAGATAGACAATGAAGCTCAGGGCAAGGATGGTTCCAAGGTCACACTCACTGTCTCTATATCTCAACTCCTTCCATGGCACATTCTCCCTTCTGGAGAGAAGAGTCTCTGCCAGCAGCTCCAGGGTTGCCCACTATGCTCTTCGCAACCTCAGAAAGTCTACTTCTCAATAGCTGGGTACTGGGTTAGGCTTGGACAGGCAGAACTATGAGGGTTCTACAAGGGTCTTCTTCCAAGAAGTGACTGCTTCTTGTGAGCAGCCTGCTAGCTGGGGAGAGTAGGGGTCATCTGAGTGTGGGAGAGGAGAGCTCAGGTGTCTCACCCTCTCCCCTGTAGGTGCCCATGTCCATGTGCACCAGGAGCTGCCGGGCTGGGCAGAGGAAGAAGCCCGTGGGCCTCCATCCTTGCTGCTTTGAGTGTATTGACTGCCTCCCTGGCTCCTTCCTCAATAAATCAGGTACTACCTGCCATGTCCTGCCCAGCCCCTGCCCTGCCCCTGGTGTTTTCAAGGCTCTTCTGCTTTGGCAGGCTCTCTGGTGTCTCCCCCAGGTGTGCGAAAGCAAAGGATGCTGTCTGATTCTTGTTGTGTCTTCCTGGTATCTGGAATAGAGAAAACTCAATACAGGTTGGCTTAGGGAGTGGGGAAAGGAGAGGGAGCAACATTCTTCAAAAGCCTGCACTCCACACACATACAACCCTGGGATGTCAAGTCAGGATGTGGTCACAGGACGGTGAATGAGTGAGTGAGTAAAGACTCTCCCAACAGGAGGAAGGTTTCAGAGAAGCGAGAGGCAGTATCTTACTGATCTCTCTGACCTCCCAAATGCTTAGTTGAGAGCATATAATAGTTGCTCAGTGAATGTTTGTTGAATGCCTTCCTTGACTAGAAGAACAAACATCCTCCCCATAGACTATTAACTCCAGAAAGCTGGAAGCAGTACCATCTCTCTCGGTCCATATTGTTGTTGGAAGTGCTGTCCAGTCGTTTCCGACTCATAGTGACCCTGTATAGGGTTTCTGAGTAGCAGCTGGTGGGTTTGAACCGCCGACCTTGTAGTTAGCAGTCCAGTGCTTATCCTACAGTACCACAACATACTGTTTAGCATAGTTCAGAATTGTTTGTTGTTAAGTGCCATTGAGTCAGTTCCCATTCATAGTGACCCTGTGGAGGGTTTCAGAGGCTTTAAATCTCTGAGGGAGCCAAAAACCTCATTTTAGGGCCCCGATTCCCCCGCCCCCCATGGCTTCATTGATTCATCAGTAAAGTGCATGAGTGTCTCCCCCAGTGAAAGCACTGTGTGCCTGGTAGAGTGCAGGGCCCAAAGTAGGTGCTCAACCAAAGGGCGTTGAATGATTTCACTGATCTTCTCCCAATTGCTTGAAGTCCAAGGCTGGTTTTATTTCTCTCTTGTGGCCTTCTACCCATGGTACCAATCATGCTGGATGGTGTCAAAATTTTTCTTGAGTGAATTCTTTGAATGACTGACTGCCTCTTGCACCAGAGGGTAATTCATGTGTCAAAAGAGAAGGATTATAATTGTTAGGCTCTGAGTTGGGGGCTTCAGTTCAGGTCCTACTCCATCACTTACTGGCTATGTGACTTTGGGCAAATGACTTCACCTGGCTAAGCCTCAGTTTCCTCATCTGTGCAGTGGAGTTGCTGTGGAAATTTGGTATCAGGGACTTAGTGCATGTTGGCAATGACTTCAGGGTTACCCTTAAGTCTCTTTCCACCCCTGGACCCTGGCCTCATGCAGGGCTGGAAGAATGCAGGTGCTTGGAGGCAGGGATTGGCTGATGGGACTTGCTGTATGCTCTTGCAGATGAGTTTGACTGCCAGCTCTGCCCCAAATATGAGTGGTCCCACAGGAATGACATCTCCTGCTACAAGCGGCGGCTGGCCTTCCTCAGATGGCACGAGGCACCCACCATCTTCGTGGCTGTGTTTGCTGCCCTGGGCTTCCTCAGTACTCTGGTCATCCTGGAGATCTTCTGGAAACACTTCCAGACACCCATGGTTCGCTCAGCTGGGGGCCCTATGTGCTTCCTGATGCTGATGCCCCTGCTGGTGGCATACCTGGCACTGCCCGTGTACGTGGGACAGCCCACAGTGACCGCCTGCCTCTGCCGCCAGGCTCTCTTCACCCTCTGCTTCACCATCTGTATCTCCTGCATCACCGTGCGCTCCTTCCAGATCGTTTACATCTTCAAGATGGCCAGTCGCTTCCCACGGGCCTATGGCTACTGGGTCCGCTACCATGGCCCTTACATCTTTGTGGCGGTCTTCACTGCACTCAAGGTGGCCGTCGTGACGGGCAACTTACTAGCCACAACCACCGTCCCCACCGCCCGCTCTGATCCCGACAACCCCAAGATCATGATTCTGTCTTGCAACCCCAACTACCATAACGGGTTACTACTCAACACCAGCCTGGACCTGGTCCTCTCGGTGGTGGGCTTCAGCTTTGCCTATATGGGCAAGGAGCTGCCCACCAACTACAATGAGGCCAAGTTCATCACCCTGAGCATGACCTTCTACTTCATCTCCTCCATCTCCCTCTGCACCTTCATGTCTGTCTACCAGGGTGTGCTGGTCACCATCTTGGACCTCTCTGTCACTGTGTTCAACCTCCTGGGCATCAGTTTGGGTTACTTTGGCCCCAAGTGCTACATGATCCTCTTCTACCCAGAGCGCAACACACCAGCTTACTTCAACAGCATGATTCAGGACTACACCATGAGGAAGGACTAATGTTGCCCACTGGCTTCTAGGACAGAGGGTCTCAGCTTTGGGGGTGGAAGCTGGGGTGTGCTTGTTCAATCACAAATGGAACCCTGACGATTACCACCTCACCCTGGTCTCTAATTTGGCATCTTTCAGACTTTGTTTCGTTTTGTTGCATCCTGGCTTTTTTTATGCACTTAAGTGAGGGCATCTAAAGACATTCAGGCTTTGTCTCTTTCCATTGAGTTTTCTGCCTGCCAGGCACTGCCACTCATTCTGTGAAACCTCCTAAGGTGACCTATTGGTCTTCAGGGACCAAGTCCAACTTAGCAGCCTACATCCGCCATCTGGTGGTCACAATGGGTATCTGTAGGTTTCTGCTAATTTAAGGGCAGCCACACAACCATCAACACTCACGGAAGCAGCAGTCAAGAAATCAAACGATGTATTGAATTAGGCAGATCTGCTGCACAAGACCTTTTTAAAGTGTTGAAGAGCAAAGATGTCAGCTTGAGGACTATGTAACCTCATACGCATGTGAAAGCTGGACAGTGAATAAGGAAAACCGTAGAAGAATTGATGCATTTGAGTTATGGTGTTGGATGAGAATACTGAAAGTACCATGGCTGCCAAAAGAACAAACAGATCTGTCTTGCAAGAAGTGCAGCCAGAGTGCTCCTTGGAGGCCAGGATGGCCAAACTTTATCTCTCATACTTCGAACATATTGTCAGGAGAGACCAGTCGCTGGAGAAGGATATCATGTTTGGTAAGGTGGAGGGTCGGAGAAAAAGAGGAAGACCCCCAGAGAGATGGATTGGCAAAGTGGCAGCATCAATGGGCTCAAGCGTGGCAACAATGGTAAGGTTGGCCCAGGATCGGGCAGTGTTTCGTTTTGTTGTGCATAAGGTCGTTATGAGTCGGTACCAACTTGATGGCACCTAACAACAACAACACTGGTTCTGGTGTGGCACTGTGAGTTAGTGCGCTGGACTGCAAGGTGGCTTTGAACTGCAAGGTCGGCGGTTCAAGCTCACCAGCCACTCCTCGGAAACCCTATACAGCATTGCTATGAGTTGGAACCAGCTCGTCAGCACTTAACAACAACAACACAGTTGTTTAGACTTGGGTTAGGGTGGTGGTAGGGGACTTCATTATTCACCAGCTGTCTTCTCTATCTGCATTTTGTCCCCCTGATTCCCTCAGAACTCTGACCTAGGCTTCCATGTCCTGAGAAGACTGGGCACCGTGGGCTCTTCGTAAAGGCTTGCGAATAAATATCCCTTGGGTGGAATGAAGGAGCTTCCTTCTTGTTTTCAGAGGTTCCCATGGTCTGTGGAATCAGAGAGACCTCAGTTTAATACCAGCATTGCCACTTCTGAGCTGTGTGACCTGGGGCCAACTGTTTACTGTTCCTGAGCCGACATCTCCCTGTCTCTAAAATGGGAGACCTGGTGTGGTGCTGTGGGTTTATGTGCTGGACTGCAAAGTTGATTTGAACCGCAAGGTTGGCGATTCAAGCTCACCAGCTGCTCCTCAGAAACCCTGTACAAAATGGAAGCAGAGCCCCCAGGTGGTGCAAATCGTTAATGTGCTTGGCTGCTAACCAAGAGGTTGGAGGTTCAAGTCCACTCAGGATACCTTAGAAAAAAGGCTTGGTGATCTGTTATTTAAAATATCAGCTATTAAAAGCCCTGTGGTCCCTGTGGGCCCAAGTGTTGCTGATCGTCCAAACCATAGGCTCTGAGGATCAGACTTTAGCCACCTAGCAGACATAGCAAAATGTCCCTTATCTGATTATTCAGTTATACTGGTTAGTAATTCCATACATGAGCCCTGGATACCCACAGATAAATGTAAAAACCTTCCCTAAAAGCCGAGACTGTAAATTCCAAAAAGGCAAAGTTTCCCCCACCCCAAAAAAGCTAAAGAGGATATAGAGAAACTCTGTTAACTGATGGTATATGGAGGGGATTATAATCAATGTAATGAAACAAGGTATATGAATGTTTGAATGTGAAACCGATGATGTGCCCTGAAAACTTTCACTCAATCCACAATAAAAACCTTAAAAAAAAAAAAGCCCTGTGGAGCACATTCCTACTCTGTCATGTATTTGACAGCAACTTGTTTTATTTTGTTTTGTTTTGTTTAATTAGAGTCCTTGTTTTATAGATGGGGGTGAGGGGAAGGCTCCAAGAGATGGAAATTGCTGGGTCACATGGTTGATCTGAGCTTCATAGCCCAGAACCATCATTGCCCATTGAATGAGACCCAGACAGAGCTACCTGGCTTACAGGAACCACGGCGGTGGTGGTGGGCTTCAGAGCGATTACCAAATGACCAGAAAGGACTTTGAGGGAAGCTGGCATTTGAAAAGAGCCTTATAGGACCCAGAAGTTTCTGGAAGACAGGAGTGTGAGTATGGTGTTTGCGGAACAACAGGAGTAAAGTTGTGGTGGAACGGATGCCTGGCTGGGTGTTAGAACTGAGGTTGAATGGAAAGCTGGGCCTAGTTGAGGGTTCCTAGACCCAGGCGCCTGTTCTTTGTCTCCCTGGGTGGCCACTGGCAGATCAGAGGGGCAGGTCTCCTCCGGAATATGCTGACTTGTCCCTCCCTCGCCTCAGTGGCCAGCCTCCTCTGGCTTGGTCTTCATCCCTCCTAGAATGAGGCCCTGAGGATTACCTGTTGGGACCTTTTCTGAATATCACTCAGAGGTCCTATCCTTGCTCCTGGAGTTGCCAGAGCCTCATGGGAGCTTCTGGAGGACTATCCCTGCATATCTATTCCTCAATGTGGCTGTGTCCTGTCCCCTAGCCCCCAGGACCAGACTGGGGGACCCTCATGGAGTTTTAAACTCTTAATTCTGTAGTCTTGCATCTGACACCTAGGTGTAAATTTTTTTTTTTTTTTTTTGACCTCATTTTCCTGACCCATCCTCATGAACCACCGTTAGAGAACAGAATCCGGGAGGGACCCTCAGTGGCCTTATGGGTATCTATCTGCTCCATGCCTCCTCCTATGCTGTAGTTGTTAGCTGCCATCCAGTCAAAACTGATTCACAGTGACGTTATGTACAACAGAACAAAACAGTGCCCCACCCTGCATCAGCCTCCCGATTGTGGCATGCTTGAATCCATTGTTGTACCAATATATCTCACTGAGGGTCTTTCTTACCCTCACTGTCTCTCTACTTCACCAAACGTGTCGATTGATTCCTCCTGATGACGTGTCTAAAGCAGTCAAAGTGGACAATGTCCTGTTGTGAGCCATAGGTTTTCCACAGATTGCCAGATCTTTCTTCCTAGTCTTTCTTAGTCTGAAAGCTTTGCTGAAACCTGTCCACCATGGATGGCCCTGCTGGTATTTGAAAGACATCACAGCATCACAGCAACATGCATGCCATTGCAGCATGACAAACTGCTCCACACACACTTCCTTCTATGTTGTTGAGTGCCATCGAGTCGGTTCTGACTCAGCAACTCTGTATATGGTTTCCGAGGAGCAGATGGTGGGTTTGAACTGCTGACCTTGTGGTTCGCAGTCCAGTGCTGATCCTACAGCACCACACCAGAAGTCCACACCTCCTTTTATAGCAGCATCGAATCCTCTCTTGTTCCTCTCCACTGACAGGTGTACTGAGAACAGCTCTAGTTTTTAGAAAATTCTATAGATTGAATCAAAACTGGACTTCCTAAAATGTCTATTTATGGACTTTTGTTTTCTCCTTGGGGGCCACACATTAAATCTTATTCCTCTTTTTCACTTTTCTCAACAAAAAGAGTAATTGCCTCTCAAAAAGCAATTATTCTACATTCATTATTTCTAATCCCTACAATGACCTTACCCGGTCGGCATCTATGTGGTCCCAGAGGAGCTCATTCTGTCTCCTGGCTCAAGGGGTGGAACAGGTGACCTAAGCCAAGCCAATCAGCACATAGCCTTCCTTTGCCTTCAGTCATTGGCTGTGGGGTGAGCACATGACCTTGGTTGGTCCAATCAGAGGTAATCTCAAAGAGTTTTCCTACAACAGAGATACTTTCGGCTGGAATCTGGAGGTGGGGGCAACTCCCATGGGACCACAAGGCAAGTGGGAAGTTGGACCTAGTAGAAGACGTGGAAAACTGGGTCTTTGGACCTTTTTCTGAGTGAATGGATCTTTCCAGAAAGCAGCACTATCATTCTACTTTTCAATTTCATGAGTCATTAACATGCATTAATACTTAAGATACCTAGAGTTGGGTTTTCTGCCACTTTCAGCCCAAGCATCCTTATCCAAGTAAGGAGAAATCGGAATCTTAGAGGTACTGATTGACTTAGCCAAGGTCACCCAGCTCTTCTGTGGATGAGCCAGGATTTGGAGGTAAGAGGGATTCTAGGGATTTTGGTCTTTGTTCTCGGGTCAGTCCAGCCCCTGGGTCCACGTGGCGTAAAAATAGGAGCAGATAATAAG